GGCAGCAAGCACGTGGACCCTTCCGTGCCCGCTCGCAGGCCGCTGCCACTCTCCCCGGCTGCCTCGGGACCCCAAGCCCTCACCTGCTTCCAAACCTCCGTAGTCACCGAGCTTCTCGAGACCCGGCCTCGGAACGTCTTGGTTGAAGCCGAGCAAAGGGCTAAGCATAGGAAGGTCAAGGTGGGCGGAACAGTCCCAGCCACGAAAACGTGGACCGTTTGCTACCAGCCAGGGGAAAGCAGACACGTTCACCTGTGGGGCCACGAGTCCCCAAAGAACCACGCCACCTTCCACCTCTTAACACAGATTCCAGAATCTTTACAGAAGGGTTATGATGATAACAACCTTATTTCAGCCTCCCAGTAACGTAGTTATACATGCCACAGGCACATCATTCTGTTTACGGAGTTTTGCGCCCGTAGACGGTATTGGCTAACCTTTTCAGTGTAGTTTGGTGCTTATTTAAGGTGTTCTAGTTAGACATACAGACAAGCGTTTTCTTTACAGCTGTCTTATTTAAAACGAATTTTAGAAAGCTCCCACTCAACAATCTCAGTGCTTTTCACCATTGATGAAAAGGTCAGCATTGAAAGACCCAGTATATCTAAATCTCTGATTACTCAAAGTTCGAAAGTCTTCTGCATAGTAAGTTACTTTGTCAGCTTGATTTCTGGCGCTCCCCCCCACCCCCTCCGCCAGCAAGGTGAGGGGGTCAATATTCCCTTTCTCTAAAGAGCCCGTGAAATTGAAGGAGTGCACTGAGAAAGCCACGAGGTCAAATGAGGTTTCCACTCCAAGAGTCACTAGGAACATTTTTGGCATGCTAGTGTGGCCTTAACATGAGAAGATATGGGTTATTGTTGAGTTATTTTAAGTTTACCAATAAAAAGATAACCCTGTGTTCAATCGAGCCAAGGCTAAAGGTTTTCACTGAGATAGCACTTTATTCATTTGGAATTTAGAAGATCAGGGGTAAGGCTGAATGTCTGGAGTTTAGAAGCGAAAGCAGTGAGGTTAGAGTTCTAGTAACAAGTCAGGAAAACAGCAGTGGCATAAGAATGTTCTAAAGGAATTCTAAAGGAATATTAAGCCACTTACGGGTCACAGGTATTGCCTTTGGTGGGGAAATCAAATGGAGAAGGGCAACGCAGACAATGCACAGCATCCTTTTGGCAGAATCTCTGACGTGGATCCCCCCCCACCACCACCACCACCCCAAGTCATGTATCTGGTGGGCGTAAGGAGAAAAGACTGGCGAAGGTGTTCTCGGCTGCCATGGGGAAAAGTGGGTTGACCCCATGAAACAACACAAGCATAGACATGCAAACTTTAAAACCAACCCGTGCCCACTTTTCCACGCCTCTATCATAAACCCAGTCATATTCCACAGAAAGTTTAATGGAAGAAATAAAGGGGCTACTGAGGAGCTGGTTTTCTGCGTGTATAGCTCAGTTGGTCAACATTTTAAAAATTTACAGATTTGCTGCAAAACATACACATTCAATTTCTATTTCATCATGGGCAACAGGTCACTTCACATATATCTCGAGTACTATAATTTGCACCCTTCTGTTTTTTACTGCTCTGCCGCATGTGCTGAAGGAACAGGTCTTGCGCTCCGAGCATGGTTCTCTAGAGAATTGTATTGCTGGCTCAGGTGGAATGTAATTCTGCTGTAAGTTCAAGAACATCGGCACAATGTTGTTTTGCTCTCATTCCATGTTCTAAGGCCTTGGTTCTTCTAGTTTTCTTCACCAATATTTTTTCTACCCAAATCTCGCCTGGTAATAAGCTTGATGGCAGTGTTATTTCCGAGTCTCAACCTTATTTTCTGTGTTCTACTGCAGTTTGTATTTGAATACCTTTTCTCTCTTTTACAATAGAATCTCTGTTTGAGACCTTAATTCTCTTTGTTAGATCCCCAGAGCCATCCTTCCAAGGAATTTGCTTGATAAGATATGTCCGTAATAGGATCACATCGTGTTTTCCCACGTTTGTGAATTTGTTTTTACTGGCAATTTATTGTATAATATTTGTTAAAACGCCCTACACCGAGTAAAAAGTATGAGCAGTAGATAATCTGCCTTGGATGGTCCGAGCTCTTAAGAGGCCCATTTTAAAAAAATTCTTTTCCTAGGAATTGATCAGCTCAGACTCACTTATGTAGAAGGAATAGAATCTCTCTAAGAACAGAAATCCATTTTGCCTTTCCAGCATGCTAGATTCACATTTTGCCAAATGTACCATACAGATGGTCAGAAGACTTATAGGTCAGAAAAGAATCCCATGGGGTAGCTCTTAGCAAAAGAATACAATTGGACATTTAAAAAGAGTGTTTAAAAAAGAATGTCCTTCTGTTATACTAACAGCATCTGAGCTGATGTAGATAATTGACCATCACTCAGCTTAATGCCATGACAGGCAGAATTTATATTACATTTGAGAGCTAAAACCTAGAATTTGAGAAATCAAGGTAGAGAATTCTTTAATTAGCTCCTTAAGTTATTGACAGTGTGAAAATTCATTACAGCAACTGATCCCTAAAGAAGACAAAAGGATTTGTTATCGCTCACTGTTGGTGCCATGTAGTTTCAGTATGTGAACTTGCAAGCAGAGGGTAGCTGCTCTGGTCATGCAGAACCACGTGTCCAGTGGAGCAAAAAGTTTTGTTAGCTCTTGAATCAGAGAATTAATGATACGGGAAGTAGCCTAAAAACCGTCTTGGTGATTTTAGAGGAGGAGTAGGTTTATGAGGGACGCCATCATAGACTCTTGAACTAGGCCCACAGCCTCCCCCCACCTCCCTTAGCCCTATAACGCTGAGCGCCACGTTTTCATAACATTTAAGTAAATGTATATATTAATATAATATTGATAACTATGAAAGTAAAGGATAAAAACAAAAAAAATTTTTTCCTGAAATTAAAAATTGAGGCATTGTAGGGTTAGATCTTAAACTTCTTGATTTCTAGGGCTCTGGAGTTTATGTAGTATAGATGTATGTGTTGTGCTTACTTTTTGGCATTAGTCCTTTATTCTCTAAAGGAAATTAGACATAATAGAGATAGAATGAGAGATGTGAAATATGTTGAATGGGTTTACAATCTAAATGTTTAGATAAGTAGGTAAGTGTTTAAATGCCATCTTTCAATTCGATATGCCATAATATGTTCTTTAATTCTTAAGTAGCAGATAGATTCGTTTTCCCCCCTCCAATTTAGTCTAGAAAAATAAGTTAAAAGGAACTTAATTAAAAATATAAGCCTTGCCCTAGGAATAAATTAGGCTACCTTTGTTTATATTTACGTAAACATCAGAGCCTATAAAATAAGTTCAGACTGCTCTACTTACTTTTTCTCTTTCCTCATTCCATACTGTTGCCTTTTATCTTTCCTCCATCTTCACGTTTTACTCCGTTCCCACATTGCAGGACTGGGCAGTGTGAGACTTTGTTCTCTTCTGTTGGACACGGGTCACTGTCTGTCAGAACTGACTAGGTGGCACCTGAGCACAACGAACAACCTTGCTAGATAAGAGAACGCAAACATCAGACCCTCTGGGCCTGAGTCTGTGGGCGTTAAAGGAACCCCTCAAGCATTTCAGATGTAAAGCAATGTTTGAGAAACACTGATAGCTGGGAGTGACCCTTACTACAGATCCCCCAAAGGGGGCCTGGGGAGACCTTGGAAAGTGAGGAGGGGGAAGACCTTGGAAAGTGACTGATTAAGGAATAAAGTAGTAAACCAAGTCAAAGTTTTCAAGTCTGACTTTTTGTTAGAGACCATTATATATTTTTTTAATTGAAAGTAAGAAAGCAAAGAATATAAAATTTATTTGTGGTTCATATTGTAATGCTCATTTGTTCCACATTTATGTGTATGGTCCAGTGCTTATTTTCATTCAGTCTTTCAAACTATTCAGAAATGGAACTTCTAAAACTTCTGAGATACCTTAAAACTCAACCCCCCTCGGGTTTCCGAAGCTGTACATCTTTACGGACGCAGGTTGCCACATCCTCTGCCATGGAGCAGCGGGTGGGCTCAGACTGTTGGTTTGGCTAGGGACCCTTTACAACAGACGAGGACTGCCCCCTGGGTGTCCAAGACTGTCACTCTGTACGGGGGGGAGGAAGCCGCCTCTTTCTCCTGAGGAGCGGCTGGTGGTTTCAAACTGCTCACCTGGCAGTTAGCAGCCCAACATGCAACCCACTACGTGCCTACAGCCCTTTCAGTCAATCGAGGTAAAGGTAAGATGGCTAAACCATCTATCTATAGGTTAAATTCTTTTTAACATTGAATATTTGGTTTTAAACTAGATGTTAGAATTTGACCCATTTGTCTCTTGGCAGTCACATGGAAAATCAAAGAATGGTTATTTTATTATTTTGCTAGTAAATGTAATCTCACTCTGGAGATTACAAGTTATTTTACGAAGACTAAACTTCTGTTGTGTTGAAAATGGCTGACGACTCAAGTACTGCTACGTGAAGAGGTTGTTCATTGCCTGACCTCAGTCTACTATGCCGGCAAGTCTGCTGTGAAACTAGTAACCGTTCTCTCCGTCTTTCATGCAGGCCCAGTGACAGTAGGACAGTTCCACCGGTCACTCCGGCGAGATAGTTTGTCTCCTTACTCCTACGTATCAACTTCATCCCACAACCACAGTACTTTCCCTCTGAAAGGTTTAGATCGGACCCCGATACCTCCAAGAACATGGCAGAACTCCCTTGGAATGCACCCAGGACAAGTGGAGACGTCTCCCACTTTTTCAGATAAAGGAGTTCCGTTTCCGGTACTGCAGAGATTTCCAACTGAGGTTACCTATACGCTCCAGCCCAGCGCCACATCGGTACATGTTCAGCAAGGTCCTCAAACAATGGTCAGCTCCTCCCAGAAATACAGTAACTACACACCCTCAGCGCAGTACTCCCAAGCCTACTATCCAACAGGTATGAGAATGTCAAGTTAAGTGGCTTAGAGTAAGTTACTTTTCTTTACGTATAGTTGTATTTTAGATGCATTTTAATCTCTGCGTGCTTAAACACAAATAGGAGGGATATAAACCCAAACCAAATTCACAGCCAGAGAGTCAATGTCTGACTCAGAGCAACCCGGTGGACAGTAGAACTGGTTCCATGGACTTCCAAGACTAAATCCTAAGGGGAGCCGAGAGCCCCATCGTTCTCCTGAGCAGCAGCCACTGGGCTCCGATTGCTGGCCCCATGGCTCCTATCCAGCGCTTCCCACACTTAGACCACCCGTTCTCCCTGCGTGGGAACATGCACCTACACAATGTCGAAGTTTTCTGATCCGTGCGAGCTGACAGATACACACTTCTGTTGATGCACGAAGGTGTACGTATTTAGTGAAGCTTCGTGTCTGGAGATGTGTCCTGGGAGAGAAGTGAAGATGTAGCACACTGGGTCTTGGCTGTACTCTGCTGTCAGTGCAGGTGATGCAGTCATTTTCGTATCTCAGTAATGAAGTGTAATAAAAACCCGCCCACCCTCTGCAGCTCTCCAGGCCAACCTTTGTTCTTTAGCAAAAGGTGGTGGTGTGGGCCGGCAGTGGAGTCCCTGCAGTATTAATCTCAGCTGATTACACTGAGGCATTGGAGAGAGGAAGAGAACCTCCTGACCTGAAGGTCAACCAAAGACATTGAGGAGGTAGTGGTAAGACCCCAAGCTACTTACCACCTGGGACTCCTTCTGTTAACTGCCGCTGCCCAGCTTCTTGCGGGAGGTGGCGGGAAGATGCCCTTTTTTGGTGGTAACTTGGCAACATAGTAATATGATGTATTCAAATGTATTTACTATTTTGCAGAAACACCATAATGATGTATGTGTGCAATTCTGTAATCTGTTTTACACAGGGTGAGGAAATGGGCCAATAGAAATCCTTGTAGGGTCTTTTCATCACAGATTAGAGAGAGGAGAAAAGGGGCACTCCTTTGCCCTATGAATTAAGAATCTAGCAGTACTGATTATCTGAAATATGTGTAGACCTGGAAGCAAGCTCCAGAGTTTTTTTCTGGAGCATTTTGTCCAAACAAGACTAACAGCCAACTCAAATGAAAGGAATACAATGACATGTGAACACGAAATAATCTGTTGTCTTTTACAAGTTGTAAATGTGGGGACTGTGATATCTGTCATTGTACTCGGTATTTTCCAGCTGCAACAGCCAACTGTGTCCTGTGCTGGATCATTGCGGTCTACCTAAATAGAACCAAAAAAAGGACTGCTTGACTTTTCTAAAATGTTTAAATTTAATGAACATAAAATAATAAAACCAGGGTATAAACTGCATTGAGTTTTTTTTTTTATTAAATCATTTTATTGGGGGCTCTTATCACTGTCCGTCCATCCATCCATCCATCCATCCATCCATCGTGTCCAGCACATTTGTACATTTGCTGCTGTCACCACCATCAAAGCATTTGCTTTCTACTTGAGCCCTTGGTATCAGATCATTTTCCCTCCCTCCTGAACCTTTGATAAATTATACATTATTTTCATATCTTAACATCATTCCACTGTCTCCCTTCACCCGTTTTCTGTTGTTCTTCTGTCTGGGGGTTATATATTGATCCTTGTGATCGATTCCCCCGTTGTTCCCCCATCTTCCCCTTACCCTCCTGTTGTCTCTTTTCTCATTATTGGTTCTGAGGGGTTTATCTGTCCTGGATTCCCTGTGTTGCTGGCTCTTACCTGTAGCAATGTACCTGTTCTGGTCTAGTCAGATTTGTAAGGTAGAATTGAGGTCATGATAATAGGGGCCAAGGAGAAGCATTAAAGAACTAGAGGAAAGTTGTATGCTTTATCAGTGCTATACTGTACCCTGACTGGCTCATCTTTTCCTGGTGAACCCTTCTGTAAGGGGATGTCCAATGTCTACAGATGGGCTTTGGGTCTCTACTCCATGTCCCACCCCCCTCCCCAATTCACATTAGTATGATTTTTTGTTCTGAGTTTTTGATGCCTGACACCTGATCCCATCGACACCTCGTGATCACACAGGCTGGTGTGCTTCCATGTGAACGTTGTTGCTTCCCAGCTAGACTGCCACGTATTTGTCTTCAAGCGTTTAAGATCCCAGACACTATATATTTTGATAGCCATATAGCCAGGCACCATCAGCTTTCTTTACCACATTTACCTATGCATTCATTTTTGTCTTCAGTGATCGTGTTGGGAAGGTGAGCATCGAAGAATGCCAGGTTATTAGAACAAAGTGTTCTTGTGTTGAGGGAGTACTTGAGTTGAGGCCCAATGTCCATATGCTACCTTAATACTTAACATATAAATATAAGTACATAGATCTATTTCCCTATCATTATATATAAATTTATTTACATATGCACATGCTTCTAAGTAGACCTGTATAAATGTCCTTTGCCTCCTAGTTCTTTCTCTGTTTCCCTCTTATCTCACTATCATGTTCGACCTTCATTCGGGTTTCATTAATTCCTCGCAGTTACATTGCCCTTGATTAAGTCCCACTAGGCATCCTCTGCCCTTCTCGCCATCGATTTTAGTTCACTTGTTGTTCCCTAGTCCCTGGGTTGGTTGACACCCCCTTTCCTTTCTCCTACCTCCCCCTCTCCCATGTTCCCCAGAACCATTGGTCCCGTTGTTTTCTCTACTGGGTTGTTTACCACGCCTATCTTATCTGGATAGACGTCCAGAGACAATAATAAGTGCAAGAACAAGGCAAAACCAAACAAAACAGCAAAGGAAGACAGAAAGACAAAAGAAAGCCAATGACAAAAAAAGAAAAGCCTGTAAATAGTTCCAGGTCTGTTTTTTGACCTTTAGGAGTGTTTTCTAGTCGAGTCTGATGGGGTGCCACACTCTGTCCCCAAAGTCTGTTTTCTGGTAATCCTTGGGGACTTCATTGCTTTGCTCCCCTTGCTGCTCTGCTGCACGTCCTTAGTGTTTGGCCTCAGTGTGATGGGGTCAGATCGCACACAGTTCCCACACTGTGCCTCCAGTGTTGTCCCCCATAGCACTATGGTTCAGTGAGGGACGTCATGTCTTGTGGTGGGACTGGTCCTGTAGTCCTCTCTGTGCATTGTCTGCTTTTAGCAGGACTGTCATCCTCAGGGCTTGGTGGGCCAGGATGTGTTCCACTCTCTCTCCCTCCCTCTTCATGTGCCCCTGTGTGCTCTGATCAGGTGCGCCCCTCTCCCTGAGCTGTAGCTTCAGTTCTGTCCTCTGAGGTGCATTCTTCTGGGGTGCGAGTGGAGGTCCACATAGTTGGGATTGGGGCCAGCCCCTACATTGAGGTTTTTAGACCTGCTACTCTTTGGGTGAATAAAGTTGAGATGATAAAGAGGGAGGAAATTATGTGGAATAAAAATAATTTATCACTTTTACCATTTTGGTTATTACAAAAATTTAAAAAAATTTTTTTCACTTACGTAGAAAATTTAGGCCTCATCTTTTTTTCGGATGTAGTATTTCTCAGCTGTGGTACACTGGAACCTTGCTATACTCTCCCCTTGGTGCAGTGGGATTGTTTTATAGGTAAGATTCCTCACAAGGACATTTTAGTATCTCAGTAATGAAGTTTTTAGCTACTTTAAAGATATGTTTCTGTCTCTAAAAATGGAAAAATGAATAATTTCATATATAAATCTTATGTCTAACAACATTGGGTTTTTATTACTGGGGAGTTTAATACACTTTTAAACAAGCAAATCGGACATTGCTATATCTAAATTATGTTTTCAGCTACATCATTTTGGCTACATTTTATATATGCTTAAAATACATAGAGAATCTGCCTTTCTTACAGTTGATTTACAACTGGGTAATTCTACCCCTCATGCCAATAAAGAATTCTCTTTCCTTTGCTAACTAACCTCTGTTCAAATCCCCGTCCTCAGACTGCCGTTGCGTCCATGGAGTTGGCTCTGACCCGTAGTGACCCTCTGCACAGCAGGACTAAACGCTGGCAGCACGGTCCTGCGCTATCCGCACCGTTGTTCCTGTGCCCGAGCCCGTTGGTGCAGCCGCTGCGTCCGTCCATCTTGTTGTTAAGAGCCCTCCACAACGTCCTTCTCCAGGGGCTGGGCTCTCCTGACAAGATGTCTAAAGTCTGTAAGAGGAAATCTTGCCATCCCTTGCTTCCAAGGAGCACTCTGGCCACACTTCTACCAAGACATGTTGGTCTGTCCTTTTAGCGGTGCATATTCTCCAGCACCACAGTTCAAATGCATTGACTCTTCTATGATCTTCCTTCTCCAGCTTTTCACCTGCATATGATGGAATGGAAAATACCTTATCTTGGGTCAGGTGCACTTTCGTCCTCAAAGTAACATCATTGCTCTTCAATACTCTAAAGAGGTCTAGTGCAGATTTGCCCAATATTTGTCATTTGATCTCTTGACTGCTGCTTCCATAGACATTGATTGTGGATCCAAGCAAGACAAAATCCTTGATAACTCCATTCATCATGATATGACCTTATTGGTCCAGTTGTGAGGATTGTGGTCTTCCTTACATTGAGTTGTCATCCACACTGAAGTCTGCAGTCCTTGATCATCAGCAAGTGCTTCAAGTCCTTCTCAGTTTCTGCAAGCAAGGTTGTCATCTGCATATTATAATAACATTATAATATTATTAGAAAGCCTTCCTCCTATCCTGATTCCACATTCTTCTTCATATAATCCAGCTTCTCTGATGAATTGCTCAGCATACAGAATGAACAAGTATGGTGAGAGGATACAACCCTGACTCACACCTTTCCTGCTTTTAAACCATGCAGTATTCCCTTGTTCTGTTTGCACAGCTGCCTCTTGGTCTATGTACAGGAAGCACATCCAAGGGTTCTGAATTCCTGTTTTTCTCAAGAGTGTCCGCAGTTTATGACGGTCCACACAGTTGAATGCCTTTGCATTGTCAATGGAACACAAGTAACATCTTTCTGGTTCTCTGCTTTGAGC